ACCTATTTTTGCGGATAGTTGAACAAGTATACATACAAAAGCCAAATATTTCCTGACAAAGTTGGATATCATTTTATCACCAAGAATTGACACTAATTAATCAGAGCATCCCAGAGAAGTAGAACAAAGAGATACAGACCTAAAATATGATAAGAAAATTCCTTGCAAATAAAACTTTTTAACTAATCAAAATGAAGCACTTAAATATGAATTTAAGAATACATAGTTATTTACGACAAGTCAAAGGGTACTTGAATCTAAAAACAGAGAGAAGAGACTGTAAATGGATAAGAACTAAGATAAAAGCATGAAACACATCCTTGATTCTATTTGTGCTCTGCTTATATCATCTTCTTTTCCAAAGCAATTTTGGGGTGAAGCTGCTCTTACAGCTATTTATTTCATTAATCGCATTCTATCATCAGTCCTAAATAACTAGCCTCCATATAAGCGTTTACATGGTATTCTTCCTACTTATGATCTTCCTAAGGTTTTTGGTTGTGCATGTTTTGTTTTTTTCCCACCTCATGAACATAACAAGTTAGAGCTTAGAGCTCGATTATGCTGTTTTTTAGGTTATGAGATTACACAAAAAGGATATCGTCATTGGGATCCATGTCACAAAAACTCCGAGTTTCACATCATATTGTTATTTTGGGAACACAATATGTTCTCATTGTTGTCAAACTTCAAAGTGTCATTGTTTCATCAACCTCCATTTTTTACTAATCCTTTTGTTGAGCTATTTCCTAGTGATTCTGATGTAAGTACATTTGATGAGCTCTACAATGCCTCACCACATGCTCCAACTAGTTCTGCAGAAAATGATCTGTCTACTAGTAATGCATTGATAATTTTGAGCCTTCCTCTGCTTCCTCATCTGTATCACTTATTGATGTTGCGTATGATATTATTGAGTCTGTAAATGAGCTTGTTATCCCATCCTCGAGTCATCCTACTCGAGTAAGAAACCCTCCCAGCTACCCTCATGATTATCATTGTTTTCTTGTTATTGCATCTTTACATGAGCCTCAATTTTATCGAGAGGCCTCTTCTAACCCTCTTTGGCAAAAAGTTATGCAAGTTGAATTACAAGCTTTTGAGAACACTCGTACATGAGATTTAGTTGATCTCCTTGCTAAAAGTCTCTAATAAACTGTAAATGGGTGTACAAAATCAAAACACGATTTGATGGTTCTAGTACTGAAGTTGAGTATATATATTCACACTTCATTCTTCCATTCTTAATGGTAATTAAGCCTTTTAGCATCACCTCCAAATGACCATATTAGTTTTCTTTTGTTTGTTTCTTGGGAATATGAATTGGGATCAAGTATTGTCCTCACCTGATGTAGCAATCTCAGATCCACGCCCGCTTAAAGATTCCAGTAGACTCGAAGGATATGAAATGATCACAATGGCAATGAGCATTTTCTAGCATGCTTGATTGTAATCAGATTCTCAAAATCCATGTTTACCCAAAATTCTGTAATTAGTAATCATATACAATCATATTAAATTATGATTTTTTTTATGAGAAATAGAGAAATATATTAAGTAATAAGAAATTACAGCAGAATATCCATTTTATGGCATATAGCCAAAATCAAAATAATCTAAAGACAAAATCAAAAGCATAACCTACAGCACTAGTAATAGACTTAAACTATGCCCATGACGGATATAGACAATTAAGTAAAGAGAACCATTTACAACTAAGGATTGAATTTACAATCGTTGTATGGGTTAAATAGGGCTAAATAGAGCTACTAATATAGAGAGGGAGGTTATTATGAGCATTAAGAACTATTGGACATTCTCACCTATTTAACCAACATCTTGGAGAGAGGCAAGGGATTCTGACAACAAACAATCTGCAACCCACAAGTTGTCACCCTACTTGTTCTTAAAGAAGAACAACCAAAAGGGGTATGGGCCTTCTCTTGACAAGCATAAGGCCCCCTAGTCACTTCCATATACTCCCAATCATGTTCCCAACTTTGTCGATCCTTTTCAAACCCATGCTGTCAAAACTCATTAAGGGAACTAGAGCCTCTTTTATTTGCTTGAAAATTAGGCTTTTCACATAGACCATAGCCGACCTTACCAACAACATCCTTTTCCTTCGACAATGGGCTAGCTAATCGGGAACTGATGTGAACCAAATTCACCGAATTCAATCTCGACCAAGATCCCATTCGAGGAGATGCACCAAAGCGAGATTCTTGCTTGCTAAATTGGAGAAACACACTTCACTGGCATGATCAATTCCAATCGTAGCCTTCAAAAATTAATAGATGTAAACCCTAGAAAACCCAAAAAGTCGTTGCCTTGTGGTTCCTTGGGTTGGAGTTTCCAAAGCAAGACAACGATGAGACGAAGAAGAGATCAAGAGAAGGAAGGGAGGGGTAAGAAAAAAAGAGGGATGAAGGAACTTCTTTGCCAGAGAAAAACCTTAAGGAGGAAACTTGCCGCCACTACTCTTAACCTTAGAAGTTGTGCATGGGTGAATTTTTTTAAAATTATAAATTTTAAACTAACATAAAATTGTATTATAATCTACTCAAGACAAGACTCAAACCTAAAATTTAAGTTAACATGATCTTCATCTTGACATCTGGACCAAAACTTAGTTCATTGGGTAAGGAACAAGTAATTTGTATTATTCTATATTGTTGGCGCTTATGGGTTTATTGTTACTATACTACCAACAATAATATTGATTTGTTGATTGAGTTGGAAACTTGGAAATGTTTTGGAGAGCTGGGAACGCTGTTGCCTTGATAGTTTCAATGAAATCGTTCCTATATAGATTTCCAATTCCATGAAACTTCTTTGCCTGTGGCTTGGCTTCCGATGTTTTACGTTATCTCCATTATTGTTTAATAGTATTTTTCCTATCTATTAATTAGGGTAGATATGGTTCAATTTTAGTTTAACAAAAATTAACATTTGATTATTTGTTTTTTTTTTTATTATTTTATAAGAACTAAATTGAAAGTGTTTATGAATTTTTGGTTCAATGACTGAAATAATTGATTTTAATATCTTGGGTATCGATTATGACCAAATTAATAATGAATACTTATTTCAAACTTAACAATGACTATACTTAGAATTTTTAAGGGACACAAATATAAGAAAATGTAAAAAAGATATATATAAAAAAAAAGAATAAAATATGAATTTTGATTTTTTTTTTTTACTTTTAGATATATTTTAAATTCAAACACTAAACTATAACAAAATTTATAAAACAAAAATTGACAATAAAATTGAAAGAAATGATTTTTACACTTATTTATAATATTCAAATAGCTATACTTGACAATGAGATTGAAAAAAATGATTTTACATTTATTTATAATAGTTATATAATTATTATTTATTTATTAATATAAAATTTTATTTTTCAGTTACACATTCAATTTTTAGTTGTTTAACCTTCTAATTATTAATTGGTTAAATTTTCTTAGTTATTAACTAAAACTAAAATTAACATTTACATCTAACTATTTAATTGATTTTTTATTATTTTCGGCTCCTCATTTAATTAATTAATCATTTGCCCAGTCTAACTATTTATCCCAGTTTCGATACAAATACAAACCAGTACATCAATAATAGTCACAAACATCTTCTTGGGTTTGCTTTTGGTTTGTTTGGTCTGGTCTACACCGTTATCTATTTGGAAAATGATACATATACTTGTCGGTTTAACACATTTTATGACATATTTTTTATTTAATTATTAAAAATATAATATAAATATAATTAATTTAATTAATTTTTATATATTATATGTATAATTATATTTATAAATTTTTTTATTTTTAATTTTAAATTAAAAATAATAATTTTTTTAATAAATATATTATATAATATATTAGATCAAAATAGATATTAATTACTTTTCAATATATTTATATTAATATAAGCACCGTCAATCTTCACTGCCAGTAGAAGATGTTTTAATCTTTTTTTTTCTTTGGGTCATCAATGGAGTCACAGTGGTCTGACATTTGAGACAAAGGGATCGACCAGATTTTCTTGATGAATAATAATAATAATAAATATCTTGGATTCCCATTCAATCACATGCAATTTGTTATGGCTCAGATTGGATGAAAGGTGCTGCTGATCACCAGCAATAGTGGAAGGCGGCTAGCTGGATTTGCAAAATACCACTAATATATATATATCTATAATTATCTGTTTCTGTTTGGTCACCCACCATGACACGGGACCTACCAAATCACCCCTCAGTCTCACCCCCTTTAATCACCTCACTAAAACATAATTTAAACCCCTTTTCTTTCCCATTCCCATATACCATCATGCTTACATACACATTCCATCCTTCTACGCTAGTACTAGTATATATATATATATATATTAATCTAAATAAAAGAAATTTGAGTTTTTTTTTTAAAATTAATAAAAATTTAATAGTAAAAAAAATTACTCCATAAAAAATATATATATATTTTTTGAACAGAATGGTAAGAAATACAAAATCTGGTGGAGGTGGAGCCCAGGCTAGAATATCCGACAAGTTGGAAGGGGCAATTTTTCAAACACACATGTCCACCCAGGCAGGCTTTGAATATTCCAAATCTCCCCGCTTCCACTCTTCCCGTTTCCCACGTTAGTAACAGGCCAGCCATCTACAAATCAAATCATTCAACTAGCAAACAATTAATTAAAATTAAAATACCATTTTCCCCCCTTTTTAATTTGTTTGAAACAATCAAAATTCTTTTCTCCCGGGAGTATTATTCTAGTATAAATTACATTGCAAAACTAGTACAATATACATATATATATATTTTTTGAACATTTTGACACGGGACGAGTTCGAAACCCGCTCAGGGAAGGGGGGAATGCACCTAATAAGCTGGCTAATGCCAGTGGGCCTCTAGACCCAGGTGCAACTAGTACAATATAATTAAGGAAAATAAAACAATAAAAAATTATTTATCACTTTTTTAAAATTCTTTTTTATTTTTTTAAATTTATTACATTCACATATTTTGAAATCTAAATTTAAAAATCTCTTATTTGCTACTAAACAATAATCAAAACTTTAGTAGGTACACAAACTTTTCAATTGTCATCCCACAAAATTGCGGTGTAAATGGGCTAACTTGCTATTGCTAATGCTATTCATTCTACACTCCGTCGTTTGACTGGTATTAGAAATGAGGGCACTTCGACAATGAACACCAACAAGTCCTTTTTCTAACTAATCAAAATCCACCACGTCATCAGGACAGGCCATAATTGACAGCTTCAATGACTATATGTTAATAAGACACGTGCACAAACACTGTTGCCCATATTTACGAAACGAAGTCCACTAAGAAATCATCCACGTCAAACTCACTGATGACCTCCTCCTCGCCCCAGCATCTCGCCGCCGACGGCATCAGATGTGGGATACTCACCGGCACCGGCACCGGCATGTCAATCTCCAGACCAAACGCGTCTACTTGTCCGTAGCCCAAGCCTTCGAACGGCGTTAAATTATCGTAACAGAGAACCGATGTCGGAGAAGAGAGAGAAGAGCCGATTGTGCCAGCAACGGTAGTTTCCGTTTCCCTCTCTGCCTCTGTCTCTGTCTCTGTCTCTGTCTCCTTTACAACAGGGTGAGGAAAGTTCGTAACAGCGTTGGGGCCCTTTAGCATCACGGCGGCTTTGTCGTAAACTACTGCAGCTTCCTCTGGTGTGTCGAAGGTGCCGAGCCAGAGGCGTTTGTGGCTATTGGGGTCTCGAATCTCGGCAGCCCACCTGCCCCAGGGCCTCTGTCGGACACCCCGGAACTTTTTCCTGCGAGTAACCTCAGATCCGGGCTTGTTTCGTACTTGTTGCTTCTTTTTCAAGTGATGATGATGATGAGTATTTGAGGGCCCCAAGTTGATCTCTCTGATGTGCCTCTTCACTCGGCGTACCTTGTTTCTGGAAAGCCTCCGCTGCCGATCATCATCTTCATCATCACTGGAAGAATCAGTGGCATCAGCGTCGGTGATGATGATTCTGAGCAGCCTAGGAGGTCTGTTGGGGATGGGCTTGTTGGTGGTGATTACGTGCTCTGTGAACTTAACGGCGGGCTGAATAGGAAGAAGGGACATGGCGGTGGAAGAGACGAACATGATCGATGGGTTGGTTAATGAATCGCACTGAAATGGTATATAAATTGGTTAGAGAGGAGAGTCTGAATCTGTTGACTGAAGTGATAAGAACAAGATGGATGAAGTTTGGAGTGAGCAATTTATATTTATTATAATATATAAGAAGAAATTAAAGGAGACAACTTTATTTAGAAGTAAACTAATTGATAGGAAATTATAAGGGAACAGAGTTGGGTTTCAGGCGGGAAATAAAGATAGAAAGAGTAATACTACTAGCTAGTGCTACTATTTTTTCCATTTTTTGGCCGAAGACTAGCTAAGTAGAAGGGAAAGAAGAAAGAAAATACGAGGGTGGGTTGGGGTATGGACTATGGACCATGGACCATGGAATGTGGAATTTAACGATAGAAGAGTTGGAAGTGGAAGACAGTACACCATCTCAATTTGCGCGCCCTTTGACCTTTCACTTAGTTAAACAATTATTACTACTTCTTCCAGGAACAGAAGACGCACAGTCCATAGACTTTTCTTCAAGACAAGATCCTTTTTGTCATTGGGGCATGTTTTGGTGGTGTTGAAAAGCTTGTTTGGTCTGTCCCCGCTTGACCATGTCAATCGGGATGTGTGAGTTTCGCGATACTTCTACGTCTACACCTTGGTCTTTACTCTCTGATTGAGACCGCGACACAATATTCAACTATAATGATAATACCGAAAAAAGATTTTTCTAATACTTTTTGTTTTTTTTTATTA